ACCATCAGACAGATTCCAATAGAGATGGCATCCTATGAAATACCTGATGAGCACTCCTTGAAAGTGTCAAGGTCATTGAAAACAAAGTATGAGAAACCATTACAGACAAGAGGAGCCTAACAGGACATGACAACTAAGTGTAATGTGATGTCCTGGATGGGATCCTGGCACAGAAAAGGACATTAGGTAAAATGAAGGAAATTTGAATAAACTATGGACTTTAACTCATAATAATGTATCAATATTGGCATATTAATAATAACAAATGTACCACAGTAATGTAAGATATAAGATATTAATAAATGAAATTGGGTACAGGTGGCATATGGGAATTCTCTGTACTATTGGTTCAGTTCTTCTATAAATCTAAAACTATTCTAAGAAATAAAGTCTATTTTTAAAAAAAGTACATTATCTCATTTCATGTCCATGGTAATACGCCCCACCACATCCTGACTTTCCAAAGGAAACCAAGAAGTGGAGAGTGGTAAGGGCTGCCCAAGGTCACCAGCAGCACGGACAAGTCAGGGTTGCTGGTGGTGACCAGAGACCATTGCTAGGGTCACTCAGTATGATGTGACCTTAGGCGGCTGAGTCTTCAAGTCCAGGTCTGGGTAATGGGCACATTAATAGTACTTATCTCCCTTAGCTACAAGAAGTTAATAAAACGGGTTTATGCAGGAAAGTGCTTAGCAGGCCCCTGGGACACAGTAAGCACTCCCCGAACATAGCTATAATGAGTAGTTTAAGTATTACTCCCTTCTCTGAGCCTCAGTCTTGTTATCTGTTCAATGACCAGCACCTGGCTTTTCAGGCTGCTGAGCAGGGAGGGATGTGTGCTTTGGACAGATGTCAGGAATTATTTTAGCAGAGGAGGAGACCTCTCCCTCCCTCTGGGAAGAAATGGCTCTGTGATCCCTGGGCTTCTGCAGGTGGCTGTTTCCAGAGACTCCAGGCTGGCTGTCTGAGGCCTCTTTAATGGGGGCAGGGGTGGCAGAGACAGGCACACAGAAGCCTTTGTCCCAGCTCTGGTGGCGGTGGCTGGCAGCTCACCCTGGGGGCAGCTCTGGCCTGGTTACCACCTCTCCCTGCAGAACACTGGGTCAGGGAAGGGGATGGGGGATGACTCACTCCAGGCCACCCTGACTCACCAGTGATCTTGAGACAGTCTCTGGGCCCCTTGGGGCCTCCATTTCCCCCTAGGTCACCCAGCTGGGACTTCTTCACTCCACCCACCTCCTGGTGTGGGCATAAAGAGAGAATGGTTGAGAAATACGAGTGGGCATGACTGGGGTGGATCTGTGGGCTCTGCTCGGACAGTCCTGGGTCTGTATCCTGTCTTTACCATCTCTCAGAATCAAATCCAGACTCTGCACTTTGATCTACCAGGTTGGCCATGACCTGAGGCCACGTGGCCTCTCTGACCTCATTGGCGACCTTTGTACTCAACTGTGCCCTCTGCCGGGAACACTCTCTTTACCATCTCTCAGAATCAAATCCAGACTCTGCACTTTGATCTACCAGGTTGGCCATGACCCGAGGCCACGTGGCCTCTCTGACCTCATTGGCGACCTTTGTACTCAACTGTGCCCTCTGCCGGGAACATTCTTCTACTGCTTGTCAGCCAGTGGACTCCAACTCGCTCCTTCAGGAACCAACTCACAAGCCCCACACTCTTCCTCCACTTTCCCCAAGTGGAACAAACAGCTCAGGGCCCCCACGGCTGTTCATTTGTCCATTCACTCACAACAACACTGTCCTTGCCAAGGTCACTAATGACCTGCAAGTGGCCAAATCCAGTGGTCCCTTTGCGGCCCCATCTTGCTGGTCTGCTTGGTGGCTGTTCCTAGTTGATCCCCAAGTCTTCCGGAAACACGGATCTTTCCTCTTGGCCCCTGCAGCCCCTTCCTGGGTCTCTTTCCACGTCCCTGGTGGCACCAACTCAGCCTCCCTTGTCTGGAAAGCACTGGAGGCCTCTTCTCTTCTCTGCTGGCTCTCAGTCCCTGGGGATGCTCAGCCAGCCTCTGAGCTTCAAACACCATCTTTACACTGATGAGTCCCAGATTAGCCGACTCCAGACTGCCCCCACCGCCTCTCTAAGCGGCTGCCAACCCCTGTTCGTTTGATCAATTGTCTCCAGCCTCACTGGCCTCCTCTCTATTCCCCAAATGCATTGGGCACACACCGGCCTCAAGACCTTTGCACTTGCTGTTTCCCCTGCCTGGAATGTCCCTCGCCAAGATATCTGCATAGCTCCCTCCCTCACCTTTGCGGGTCTCTATGCCAATGTCCCTTTCCAGAGAGGCCTTCCCTGCCTATTCCCTTGTCTTGGTTTTGCATCCCAGCATTGCGTCACGTACATCTGTGTTTATTAACTGGACACCATTTCATGCTTCCATCTTTCCTGATTTCCAGGGCCTGCTTGGGACACCAGAACCTCTGAGGCGACAATGACAGGTAGGGGGCAAGCTCTGAAGGCTGGCACGGTGCCCTTACCTCCTGCATTTCAGCACACAAATTGGTGGCTATTTAAATCGATTAAGGACTGTGTAAACACCACTATCAGGAAATTGTCTGCTCTTATCAGCCCAGAAGCAAAGGTATGGGATGGGGGACCTGGTGCCACATATGGCAGCTCGTGGCTGGAAGCTCAGGTCCCAACCAGGGAAGGGAGGTGGTGACCTGCCAGGATGCCCCCCTTCCGGCTTGCACAGCATACCCTTGCGTTCCTGCTGATCCTCTGCCCAAGTGGGGCAGACTGCCTAGAACACCCTCTCCTCCCAATGTTTACTGGAGGCTGTACAATCCCTGGTGGGGGAATCCGTGGTTTGAGAGCCAGGTAGATCTGTATTTGCGATCCTGGACTCTGCCGCTGCCCGGGAGAGGGCCAGTGGGCAAGTCACTTGGCCTTTCAGAGGATGGCAATCTGAACCTCCTCCCTAGGGTGCCATGAAGAGTGAAAAGTGCCCAATGTAGAGCTTGATGCATGGCAGTCACCTGCAAAATATCCATTGTTAAATTGACCAGTTAGGCTGAAGTGCAAGTCCTGGTCAGTGGTCTGGCGGACAGTGTCCACTCCCCACCTCCACTCAGTCACTGGCCTTCTCATACTTGTGTGCACCTGCATTTTGCCTCACAACAGCCCTAGGAGGCAGGTACTGCAGATAGCCTCATTTTACATGTGTGGAAAATGAGGTTCAGAGATGTAATGACACTTACCCAAGGCCACACAGCCAGGAGGTGGTGGAGCTGGAACTTGAACCCAGACCTGCTCATAACCATCCCCAGACAAGGCTATGAGCCTCAGAGGCTCAGATTGTCTCTATTCCAGCCATTCAATGTAGTTCTCAGAGGCAGAAAGGCCAGGGGTGCAGGTCTCTCCCATCCCCTAAGGGGCTACCTGGCTCCTGCAGGCAGAGCCCAGGCTCCGCATCACTAGGGTTAACTTTTCTCCCTTCCAGCTGGCCCAGCCCCCCCAGCATATTCCCAGTCCCACCCCAGACCCAGATGGCTCAATTAGCTGACCTGCGTACTATTGGCTTAGGCAGCCAGAATCCTTTTAATGAGATTGTAGGAGATGAACACTTAGGGAGGGCCAGGTGGGACCAAGGACACAGCTGCCCCCTCAGCCTGGGAGCCCAGGAAGGAGAGAGGATGAATGCCTGAGTTAGAGGGAAGAGGGGAAGGGTGGTGTGTGGAGAGAAAGGAAACTGAGGCCTGGGAGAGTAGACAGTATATTAAGAACTATGTCGTGTTCTGGTTTGTGACGTGACTCTGGGCTGGTCCCTTCTCTGAACCTCAGTTTCTTCATCTGGAAAATGATGACAACTTTAGCATCTATCTCCCAGGCTGTGGATGGGTGATGTAGTTCACCCCCTGCAGCTAACAAATTGCAGCTGAATCATTCATTCATTCATTCACTCATTTACTCATTCACTGATTCAATAAATACTAAGTACCTGCTATGTGCCTGGCCTTATGCTGGGACCTGGGGACACAGCAGTGAATGAAACAAAAATCTCTGCCCTGGGGGAGCTGACACTTGAGTAGAAGGAGACAGATGATAAAGAAATACATTGTGTATCAGAGGAGGGTGGGGGGATAGCCTGTGACGGCTGCTCCTTTTTGAGGGGCAATCAGGGAAGTCCTCCCTGAGGGGATGACCTCTAAGCAGAGACCTGCATGAAGGAGTAAACCATGTCGGTTTCTGCAGGAAGAGAGTTCCAGGCACAGGGAACAGCATATGCAAAGGCCCTGAGGTAGGAGAGTGTCTGACAGCATGTGGTGGAGGCACGGGCAGGAGGCCAGTGTGGCGGGACGGGGGTGAGTCAGCACACAGTGGGGAAGGTGAGGTCTGAGAAGAAGCCGGGCAGGCTGTGCTGAGGAGTTGCTGTTTTATTCTGTGTACAGATGAGAACAGGGGAGCAGCATGATCTGACTGAGGCTCTATCAGGAGCCCCTGGCCACATGTGGAGAAGTGACTGGATGGTGGGGGCAAAGGTGGAGGCAGAGACTGGAGGCGGCCCGTCTGGATGGGACTGGGCCAGGGTGGGGACAGTGGAGGTGGGGAGTAACGCTAGATGCTAGATGCATTTTGAAAGCAGTGTCAATAGCAGTTGCCGATGGTGTGGATGGGGAATTTGAGAGAAAGAGGAACTGAGGATGACATCCAGGTTTTGAGCTCCAGTGACAGGATGGATGGAGGTGCCATTGACTGTGACGCAGAGGCCGGGTTCCCAAGAATGTACCTGACCCGAGCGCACACACAGGAGCATGCACACACAAAAGTCACCATCAGAGTGGGGCGGACATGAGGTAGGTCCATGGGGAAAGTGAGGCAGGCAGTGGTGTCGCACGCACTCACCAACACCCAGTATGACGAGGGGTATGTGCTCCCAGCGGGCCAGTAGCAGGAGGTGGACCAAGTTGTGGGCGATGAGGCTGAAGCACAGGAGGTCCATGGGGAAAGTGAGGCAGGCAGTGGTGTCGCACGCACTCACCAACACCCAGTATGATGAGGGGTATGTGCTCCCAGCGGGCCAGTAGCAGGAGGTGGACCAAGTTGTGGGCGATGAGGCTGAAGCACAGAACCACAGAGCACCACTCCTGGAAGCGCTTGCCTGTGGGAGAGGAGGGAGAGATGAGTGGGGAGCAGGGGAAAAGGCTGGGGGATCAAAGCAGGCAGAGCTGGGGCCCCAACAGGGCTCTTCAACTTTGTTCAATGAGTGTACAGTGCCAACCACAGGCTGAGCTAACAGACTCACATGAAGGAAAGGCCCCAACCCACCCATTTCACAGACGATGTCAATGAGGCCCAGAGAAGGGGAAGGGCCTGCCCAAGGTCATACATTCAGGCTGGATGCATTGAACCAAGTGCTCTCTGAGAGCAGGCTCCCGTGTACAGGCAGCACATGAAGCTGGCCCTGCATATACAGTTCTTTGGCAGACAAGACCAGAATTCCGGTCTCCTGGCCCCTTTGGGCTCTCTCTGGAGACACCTGAGGGAACTTTAATGAGCTTTTTTTTTTTTAACTGGAATCTTTATGACATCACCTATCCCCTTTAAAAGGTAATTATTTGGATGCAGAGGCTACAAATAGCCTCGAATCTCATGGGCTCAGACCCCTCCCAACCTCTGTCAAGCAGGCTTTAGACAATGAGTCAGGAATTCCTGGACAAACAGGGCCTTGGACAGTGGGGCTTCTATAAAGAAATGGCCATTATCTGGCCGACTGCTGCCAGGTGGGAGTGTGGGCCCTAGATGGCCAGAGCTTCTGATTCTCAAGGGAAGCTGGAAATCAGGAAGTGGGTGTGAAATCTCCTGCTTACATGTTGCCCTGTATTTTTAATAGGTGTATAAGCTTGGACAAACTGGTTCACTCACTGCAGAAATAACCCAAGTGTGAATCAACTGGGGATCGGCCAGATTAATTCAGTCCATGGCATCTGCAGCCAGGAAAAAGCCTTGGCTGCTGTCTACATGTGGACATGCAGAGATGTCCAGGACATACTGGCAAATACAAAAAGCAAAGTGCCACATGGCAGCCACTTATGTAAAAACAAAAAGAAAAATACCCAGTGATCTTGAGGAGCCAAAAAAAAAAAAAAAAAAGGAAAAGAAAAAAATCTATATAGTTGAGACTGGCTCTTCACTTACTCACTTTTGAATGTACTACCATATTAAAATGTTTTCTTTTCATTTTAAATTAAAATTTGAAAAAAGAGGAAATAAAAACACCATGTGAGTGACATATGACATGTGACTGGGCTCCTGAGAACACCCCAGGCGGCTGGTCCCAAAGGCACAGAAGACCTTTTTTTTTTCTTTTTTTTTTCTAAAAGATGACCGGTAAGGGGATCTTAACCCTTGACTTAGTGTTGTCAGCACCACGCTCAGCCAGTGAGCGAACTGGCCATCCTTATATGGGATCCGAACCCGTGGCCTTGGAGTTATCAGCACCGCACTCTACCGAGTGAGCCACGGGCCGGCCCCAAATTGTTTTCTTTTTTTTTTTGTCCTTTTTGAGACCGGCTGCACCACGCTCAGCCAGTGAGCGCTGTGAGCGCACCAGTCATCCCTATATAGGATCCGAACCCGCGGCGGGAGCGCTGCTGCACTCCCAGCGCCGCACTCTCCCGAGTGCGCCACGGGCTTGGCCCTCAGAAGACCTTTAATGATAATAATTTTATCCTTAGTGTTTAACATCTACTGAGCAGTTACTACATGCCAGGCACCTGCCGGGGTGATGCCCCTTGTGCAGATGAGAAAACTGAGGGTCAGAGTGGTCAGGAAGAGGCCCGAGGCCAGAGGGTCGGCTCCTAAGATCTGTTCTCACCCCACCCTGCCCTGGTCCTTCTCTCCATTTGCCTCCACCCTATTGCCCTGATAACATTCTGGATCAGGAGCCCAGGCCCACCTTAAAAAACAGGGCCAAGCCAGCCCCTGTGAGTGGGGTCAGGGCCAGAGCAGATACAGAAGGCTCTTTCTGCCCTCTCTTCTCTTCAGGGCTTTGCACCCCCTCTGCACCTGGCTGATCTGAAACTGTGGCAGGTCTTGACTTGGAAACTTCTGCCTCCAGGAAGCCATCCATGAAGCCTTCTCCAGCCCCTGTGCTCCCTCAACATGGGGCCCATCACTCAGGACTGTGGCCTGTAAAATGTTTGTCTTTCCCTACCCAAATATGAACTTGGGAGGCCCGGAACTGCATCTGGAAACTCCAGGGCCCTGGCACTCAGTTGGTACTCAATAAATGCTTGAGGAAGGAACAAATTTGCAACCTCAGTCTTAAACAAAAATACAAGGCTTGTCTCTGGGCAGCCCTCACCAATGCACCTTGGGAAAAAAGTATTAGGCTCCTCATCTGTCCTGATAGGGAAACTGAGGGTCAGTGAGGAAGAAGGCCTTGTCCAGGTTGCACAACAGCATGCTGCTCCTGACCCACCCTGAGCCAGAACTAGATCCAGAACCAGAACCAGGACAGCTGCCCACCCCTTGCCCCATGAAAAGACCAAGGCTTGGGGGTGGGGGAGAAGTGACATGCCAGTGTCACATCCTCTTGGCCCTCTTGTACAGTAGAGGACACTGAGGCCCAGAAAGGGCAAGGACCTCAATAGAGGTCACATAGCAGCAGAAGCGGGCCTAGAACTCCCTGCTCCCTGCACCTCAGTCAGAGGCTGTTTTCCTTGGAAACATTCCCTGCAGGGCCTTCCTCTTTCCGTTCCTGTTTATAGCCAGGGCCCGGGCTGGAAGCAGGGAAGGTGTGTGTGTGGGGGGGGAGGAGTGGTTAGGGAGAGGCAGTGGGAAGCAAGGGATAGGTAAATCTTCCCTGTTAACCTGCCTGCGCGCCCCGTAGCCTGCAGGGACAGAAAATAGGCAGAGACAACTGTAATATGATCAGAAAACAGTTACAATAACGAAGGCTAACACCCACTAAAGCCGATCCAGCGCTGGGATACTGTGTGTGCCCCACATTACAGATGCTGCAAACTGGCTCCCTCCAGCATGTTTTGCCCTCAGTTTTTAAAGAATGAGATAAATTTAAAATTCATACAAAATTCCTAGTTTCTTGCTGCCCTTGAGAACACAGGGCTCTGGCCACCCCAGGCCTGAGCAGCAGTGGCTACCCCTATCTGATCGGGCACAAGTTCTGGATTCACTCTGCTCCCCTCCCCTCCTTGTGGACTTACACTGGGTGGCTTGCCTTGGTGGCAGCCCTGGCTGGGCCCCTGCAGTCATCTGAGATTTTGAGCCTAAGGTACAGTCTCTCATTCAAGTCTCAGTCTCTTGCAGAAGGAACTGTGTGATCCCATTTCCCAGATGAGAAAATTGAGGCTAGGGCCGGCTCACTCGGGAGAGTGTGGTGCTGAGAACAACCAAGGCCCAGGGTTTGGATCCTATATAGGGATAGCCGGTTAGCTCACTGGTTGAGCGTGGTGCTGACAACACCAAGCCAAGGGTTAAGAACCACTTACCAGTCATCTTTAAAAAAGGAAAAAAAAAAAAGAAAACCGAGGCTCAGGGCTGAGTTTGGATCCTAGACTCATAAATGGGACATCTTAGCCCGGATGTTCAGAGCTGTCCTGATTCCAAAGATGGCTCAGCTCTCTCCCCATGCCATGGAGAATGTCCCTAAAATCTGAGTATTTTTCCATCTCTAAACTTGATATCTCTCTGGGCTCTGGAAACTGGATCTTTCTGCAGACTAAGTGCCTCAATTCTTTTTTTTTTTTTTTTTCCTTTTTGTCTTTTTCCGTGTCCGGCAATGGATCGCAACCCTCAGTGTCGCCCCCGTACCGGACCGGGACCAGCAACGGTATTGCAACCATCGGTGTCGCTCCTGCGCCCGGCAATGGATCGCAACCCTCAGTGTCGCCCCCGTACCGGACCGGGACCAGCAACGGTATCGCAACCATCGGTGTCGCTCCCGCGCCTCGCTCAGCCAGCGAGCAGGAACCGGTCTGTATGTGGGATCCGAACCCTCGGCGGGAGCGCTGCCGTGCTTCCCAAGCGGCGCACTACAGCAGTGCGCCACTGGGCCGGCCCAAAGTGCCTCAATTCTAATCAATAAAAAAAATACATGTATATTAGCAGGCAGTCTTCACTGAGTACCTAGTACATGGCAGGTACAATGCTAAGCATGATCTCAGTTACCCCTCACTACACCCTGGCAGCTGGGGACCATATGTCCCATTCTCAGAGGGAGATACTATGTCTGGAGAGATAAACTGATGTGCCCGAAGTCATTGGAAGGTCATCAAAGTCATGGACCATCAGCCTGGCAGGCTCTGTGTGGTCAGATGGCCTAAACTGTATCACTTTACAGATGGACAGACTGAGGCCAGGGAAGAGGGGAGCCTTGCTTGGGACACAAGAGGCCCAGCTGTCCTCTGGCTGCAGTGCTGAGGCCTTGCTTCCCAAGCCAGCGTCTGGCCTGGCAGGGGCTGATGATCTGGCTGAGTTACAGTAGTGACTGCCTGCTGGCCTGGGGAGGGGGCTGGCTTGTGTGCGGTGGGCGTGGAGGGCTGGGCGGTGCACAGGAGGCCAGACACCAGGCCTCTGTCATCCTGCTTTTCTGGGGGCAGGCTGTGGCCAAAGGCTTGGCATCAGGCCTGAGATGAGCCCGAATAGCATGCACTTCTGACATCCTCTGGCCACCAGGAGACTCCTGGCCTCAGGGAGAGTTGGGGGAACAGGAGGTACAGAGAGGGTGGGGATGAGAGAGACAGAGGGACAAGCAGAGATGAGAAAGAGAAGGAATCAGAGACACAGAAAGGGAGACAAAGAAAAAAGAGAAAGCTCAGCCCGGAGTGTGGCAGGGACCAGGCCCGGCCAGGGAAGGGTCCCAAAGTGGCCCCAGGCCTGTCCTCTGGCTTTGGTCAGGCCCATTTAGGGGAATGAACCCCCTGCTCAGCTGTGGGACTCCAGGCCAGGACTCCTGCCCAGCACTGCTGACACCCGTCCCCTCCCCCTTCCTCCCATACTAAGAGGCATCCGTAATTGGCCAGGGCTGTGGACAGCTGGATCCAGGACCCTCCAGGTTCCACCCTTGAAGATGGGGCACCTGAGAAGCAGCACGTACTTAGTCAGGTTTCAGCTGGCACCTCCTGGGAAGGTGGATGCCTGCCTTACCTCCCAGCTTGCCCGTGCAGCCAGGAGAGGCCTTGGCAAGCTCACTAGGCCCTTCGCAAACCCTGGGCCTTGCTGCAAAACCCAGACCCAGACTGGAGTGCTGTGTAGGACCCTCTATGGTTCCTGAGTCCCACAGGGTCAGGCCCCAACTCCTTGACCAGACACTCAGAGCCCATGGGATCAGGCCATGGCCACCTCCGGGCCTCATTCCCTTTGCCCCGTGCCACCCTGATAAACTACTCTGAGCTCCCTGCATACGCTAGGCCTGCTCTCTCTGCCACTGGTTCCACACACAGGAAGTTCCCCTGACCTGGAACATTTGTCCCCCTCCTGCACACCCACTCTGGGCTGGCTCACTTCCATAGTGAAGATGAAGAATATGGAACCTAGAATGCCCCTCACCCATGTTCCAGTTCTGGCCCTGCTGCTGCCCGGCTGTGTGACCTTGGGCAAGTCACTACTCTTTGCCAAGCCTCATGAAATGTCCAGAGGAAGGTGGACTGGGTGCTCAGGAAGGGGTAGATGCAGCCTGATCCCAATCAGGACAAGCATCAGGAATAACCCATGGGGGGGTAGGGCGGGGAGGATTACAAGGGAGCTATGAGAGGTCTCGGCTTCATCCTCTGGAAAATGGAGTTAATACCAGGGTATACCTCAGACAGTTGTAGTGGGGATGAAATGACAGCATGAGGAAAATGCCCAGCGCACAGCCAATAAATGTAAATTATGTCAACTGTCCCTGTGCCAAGCCACCTCTGGGCCCAGGAATCTCAAGAATTCAGTTCCAAGAACCCAGGCACTTCTCCCACTCTACCCTCACTCATTCTGCTCCAGCCCACAGGCCCCTCGGCGTTCTGCAAACATGCCCGCATGCTCCCACCTCAGGGCCTTTGCACCTGCTGTTTCCCTAGTCTGGATCAATCCTTCCTCAAATATCCTCATCGTGCCCTCCCTCCTGCCCTTCCTCCCTTCAGGTTTCTGTCCAAATGTCACTTGCTCAGTGAGGGCTTAACTGCTCCCTCTTTAAAGCATCACCCCCTCCCCAACATTTCACTCCTCTCTTTCCTGCTACATATTTGCTACATAGCACTTGCCATCACTGGGCATGAGATATTTCTCTTATTTATTGGGTTTACTGCCTGTCTCCCTATTAAAATGCCAGCTGCACTTTTTCTGCCTTGTTCACTGCTCTGCCCCCCAAGGCCACAAGCTCAGGGGACAGAGGCAGACAAAGGGAGGCCTATGGAAGGGAGTTTGGAGAAACCAGTTGGGCCAGTCACCTCCTTTCCCCTCCACCTCCAGGTGACGGGGAGCAGGTTTGAGGCCCCAGGAGGTCAGATCCCTGCAGGGCTGTTCTTCAGAGAGTGAGGGGCACTTGGGGAAACCAGAACCAAAAGGTATGCAATCGTGTTGGAGTGGGGAGATGGCAGTCCCTTGGGGAGGCTCAGAATGCTTGGGAATGATTTGGGCTGGCTGAAAGCAGGGAGGGTTTACTCAAGTGGGCAGAGCTGGACAGCAAAGCGAGAGGCCTTTGAATCCTCACCCTCAATCCCCAAGTGGGGGCGGTCTGAGGACCAGAGAGGTGAGGCAGCTTGTTGCAGCCCCACAGTGAAGCTCGGACTACTGGGTAAACAATAGGAAGCCCTTACTGTATGCCAGGCACTGCACCAAAGCAGACGATCTCATTTCCTCTTCCCAACAACACTAAAGGGCAGATAAACTTTACCTTCTGCCCATTTCAGAGGTGAAGAAACGGAGGCTCAGAGAGGGAAAGTGGCTTGGCCCAGGTTACACAGCTAAGTAGCAGAGTCAGGATGCCAACTCTGGCCTGCCCCAGGGAGAGAAGGTTTTAAGTGCACGGGGTGAGTGTTGTGGGTATGAGAGGTTCCATGGCAGCACGGACCCAAGTCAGGTTTGAAAAATCACACAGAGAAGATGGAATGCAAGGCAGGGACTGTCTCTGATGATCCAGGACACAATGAGGAAAAGCAAAAAGCCCAAAGTCATGCAGCCACTTAGGCAAAGACAGCATCAAACCCAGGCTAGCCAGGGCAGGAAGCCCAGGAGGTGGTGGCTCAGGTCCACCTCAGGCAGGGGCTGTGCACGGCGGCTGCCCCAGGCAAAAGGAAAGATGTCAGATGTTTCACAAACAGGCCTTGAATGGATGGCAACACCCAGACAGTGTGGCCAGGCAGTCACCTGACTCTGATTCTAAAAGGCACTTCCTTAAGCCCTGGGGACACTGGTCACTCTTGGGGCCTGACAACGAGATTCCTGGGTCTCATGTGGGAGTCAGAGAAGGGTGGGAGCTGGTGCTTGCTGGAGCATGAATGGTGAGCAAACCAGAAAGAAGACAGGGAGAAACCTTGGCCTGCAGGAAAAGGGCAGAGCCAATGCAAGGGTCTCCAAATTGTGATCTGGTCTAGGGAATATGGGGGCTCCTAAGTCCTAATGGGAGGAGCACTAATATATGGATGTGGGAGAGGGGCAAGGGCTGGAGTTGGCTTATGTATGTGGGGAGCTCAAATTGGGGGATCTGCAGCTCCCCCACCACCTGGGATCCAGGAATATGGGGTGAGGGCTGATGCTCCCTACTTCTATGATGCTCCCTACATGTCAGTCGGTAGAGGGAAGAGGGATGGAGGTCTGTAGCCACTGAAGCTACAACTAGGATGGGGCTTTGTGGGAAGGGCGTCTGAAGCACTCTGTAGCTGGAAGACCCTGAGTTAGGGTTCCCTGAGCTGACGTCCCCAGATTTGGCAAGGGGGGAGGGGTGAGGTCACTATTTTCAGCCCAGGACCCTGGCTGGGACAAAGATGGGGTGCTAGGATGTGAATTTCCGATCTAGGATACCAAGGATGGGGGTGTGACTTCTAGGCGACCGGGGGCAGTGCCTGTATCAGATGAGCTGTCTCGGGGTTGGACCGGGTTCTGGAGTGGGGGTTCCTAAGTCTAGGGGCGCACTTTGCAGCCGAGAGTCCCCTGGGCCTAGGGCTAGGATGCCGGATCTGAGGATACGATGGAAGCTCTCTTTGTAGACCGGGAGCCGATATGATGGTTTCTTGATCTGGGGAGTGTCTTTGCAGTCAGGGAGCTCTGAATGGGCTTGGAAGGGACGCTGGAGTGGAGTCCCTGGACTTGGGGGCGCTATTTGCCAGTTCGGAACCGAGGGTGGAGTTCCGCATCTGGGCCCAAGGCTGGGTTCTGATCTGGGGGGACCGGGGTTGCTGTCCGCAGCCCGAGCTGGTGAACGTAGGCCCGGAGGTCCTACCTGGAGAGTAGAGGGCAGCCAGCTCGCGGGCCCCAGCGTGCTGTGCGCCCCAGCGCCGGCAATACGCTGCCTCGTCCTCCTCGAGCTCCGCCTGCTGGCCCGGCCCCTCCTCGGCGCCCGCCCTAGCCACTCGCTTGGCTAGCCCGATGCGCTCTGCTGGTGGCGGCTGCGGCAGCAGCGGCGCGGCCGCGGA